CCAAGACTATCTTGAGGGGTGTAAGGGTGTACAATAACACTGAAATAATTAAAATTTGTATATTATCAAATATTAAAAGTGATTTCAATGAACCCTTTTAACAAGGAAAAATTATTAGTAAACATTAACATAGTTTTGCAGTAGCAAATTTATATAAAAAATATTTTTTAAAAGTACTCTCTCTCTCTCTCTCTTTCTTTTCCTCCCCCCACACAAGCCTTTTTTATGGAGTGTGAAGGGGAGCCCAAATCCTGTTTTTGAAAATTGAATTACAACTAAAGAGTCTGTTCTGGAATATGGAAACATTTAACCTTCGTATTTTTGAAAAATGGATACTTACACCCTGTTGAAAATAATCTTTGTACTTAGAGGATGCTATGGGATTTTCAAGCTTTCTGCAATTTGAATTTAAAATATACTCGAATATATATGTTAAATTCCTGAAATTACCATAAAATTGCAGCACCACGATAAAAAGCAGGACGCTTCCACCGCCGGCTGCCTGTCCCATCTCCTTTGCACAGACTCTCGTGTTGGTGTGACCTTAGCACCTGTTCAGCCTGCAGTGTAGCCTCCAGGGAAAGGGCTTCATGGCTGATACTGGAGAAATACAGGGGATTTATCAAAAACACATCTGTTTCAGCCGCATCAAAATAAGTAATGCCGTCAGTACGTCTAGGCTCTTAGATCAGATGCTCTGCAAATCCTGAAGCGTGTTGACCTGTATCTCACAGGGGTGGCCGGGTAGCCTCAGGGTTCATAGTGATTCCATGCACATTTTTATCACTTAACGAGATATAGGGTTCATCCTTTTATTCCGTCAGCAAGTTAAATGCTCATTCTACTGGACACTGCTGAGTAGTTATTAGTAGTGCAAGCAGAATACTGAGGTATGCAAGATTGTGATAGAATTTGATCCTAGGCACAAATCATTGTACAAAGAATAAGTACATGGTGCGTTAAGCCAGGTGCAGTGGCACACACAGGTAGCCTCAGCTACTTGGGAAGTCCAGGTGGGAGGATTGCTTGAGGCTGGGAGTTTGAGACCAGACTGAACAACATAGTGAGACCCCATCTCAAAAAAACAAATACATAGTGAGGTGTATAAATATAAAGACCTTGGATGACTCGCTAACACAGCACTTCTGACACCCAAATCATAAAGACTTGGGAAGCTGGTATCTGTTGAGCCCTCAGGTGCTTATGTGAGTGAGGTTTGGGGGCTAATGGTGGGCTTGTAATAGTCAGTGTTCTGATCTCGAGAGGCGAGGGAAAGAAAGACTAGGCTCAGGTGTTAGCCTGTCCCAGGGGAGCCCTTTGTGAAGCCAGAGATTGTTGTTGCCAGCCATATGTTATTAAAAGCTGTTGCAAAAAGCCTAGAATACTTTTAAGGATATTGGTAGAAAACAGAATCAAGACCACCAGCATGTTGGTCGAGAAGTTTGCAAAACCACGTCCGTTTGGGCACAGGGAAAGCTGCGTGCTTTTTCTGTTTTTCATCAAGATAAATTTAGATCTCATAGAGGATGCAGTCATTTTTGTATTCCTTTCATTTTTGCCATCTATGAGCATTTAATAAACAGATACAGGTGGGATAGTTTAATTAACTTTAGATAGTAGACTCATATATTAGATGTTTATATATCTACTTAAGCTATGAGATTTTTAAAGGTACTGCAATTTTTGAAAAATTCAGGATAAATGGCTACTATGGGGAAAAGGTATAATATTTTATTTCAATGGTTATTTTTTATCAAAGAAAGTCTCATTCATAGGATGTTCTCTTTAACAGGAAAAATAGACACTTTTCTAAGTGAAATCTTCTGCTATATTGGTAGCACTTTGTTTTATAGTTAATTATTGTGTATTTTATGCTTGGTATCGATTAGTTGGTTCCCTGTGTCATTCAAAAACAAAAACAAAGTCCTGCGCGTCTCATTTCTGGTTAGTATTTTCCCCTTTCACTGTCTCAGATGAGACACTCAGATTGGAAGAATATTTTAAATGAAATACCCAACCAAGATTTATACTTACTAGGTTTTGGTTTGAAAGCAAAAAAGAAGAACCTATGTTTGCAAACTTTGGGGGAAAAAAAGGTGGTGAGATTGTTTCTGGCAGTAAATTGTTAAACGTCACTATGAGAATTTTGTATGTGTCTCGTGCTGTGGAAATTTAAGCTTAGCTAGAAAGCAGTTGTACTAGAAAGAACTTGTGCTGCTGTCTGGCCAGTGCTAGTGGCTTGAGTGTGGTTAGGAGACAGACAGCGTCGGCGTCACCTAGGAGCTGGTTAGAAACACACGTTCTGCAGCCCTCACCCCAGAGGGTCAGACTCTCTGCGCGATTCCGATGCTTGCTTAAAACACGACACCCGCTGATCTAGGCCAGTGGTCTCCAAACTTCCATTTAGTCGTAAGGGCTGTCTATGGGCAAAAAAAGAAAGATGTTTTGAAGTCCAATTAGTGAAAGTATTTCATGAGTCTGGTTCATTGGTGAGTGTTTTGGGCCTCCTTGGGTCTTCCTGGGTGGAGTTTGTTGTAACCACTCTGGCTCCACTGAACTCGGCGGGCAAACCCGAGATCTAGATCCATCCCCTGCGCGGCCGGTGGGGCAGCTGAGAGCCAGAAGCTAAGGAGGGGATTCACTTCAGTCCGCTCAGACCTCATTGCAAGGTCAGGGTTTAGAAACCCACTCCGAGACCGGGGCTTTTCTGGATCACATAAATTAACGTGTGATGGTTAACTCCATAAGAGCAGTTACTCGAGGTTTTACTTAAGTGTCATATTTGAAATAATTTTAGAAAGCTAGTTTTAAAATTTCAGGAGCACATATCCCATGAAATGAGATACTCCAGGATGATGATTTTTTTAAGTGTCCAAAGGAAAAACTTATTGCTCATTTTAGAGTCTACTGTGTTAGCCAAAACAGTGGATGGACTCTCCAGTTGACTGAACTCGTCGGGTGTTTTACATTTTTATTCATAATGCACCAAAATAGGTTGTAGAAGTGTCCCAAGCACCCCGCCTGGCTCGGATGTGCTCTGGAGTTCTTTGTGGGTTGAATTATTATATGTTGAGAATGCTTATTAAGTGTGGCATGTGATTCCAGGTCAGAAATTCAGATGAAGAAAGAGCTGGTTTGTGCTTCCTGGCGACTAGTCGTACTAGAAGACTGAAGGGGGAAGGTGCCTCTTCAGTTCCGTAGAAATTAGCTGTTTGACATCTGTTTTGAACCCCCCGTGTGTGCTAGAATTATGTTTTCTCAAGGCATTACAGCTGAGGGCGTAATAAATCGTTGATGAGAATTTCATGCTCCTGTTGCAGGACAGGCTGGGGTGTGGCTTGCCTTGTGTGTCCTGGTCAGGCTTTCTTATTTTTGCTCTCGGGAAAAGGCAGCTGTTGCATGGTCCTAGGTTGGGCTTTAAGCCACCGGGACCCTGACTTGACTTACCTTGAGATCCACATCCCAGAGTGGCGGGTCCTGTGGGTCTGCCTGACTTGCTCTTCGTTACACTCACTGGTTGGTTTATTGCTAAACCCCCTCACAAAAATCCAACAATTTAACCTCAGAGAGAGTCTCGGGTCTGTTTTGCTTCCTCCCTGTTCCACCTCTGAGATTCTTCCAACTCTCCGCAGCGCAGAGTGGCCAAGCTTTCTGCCCCAGGGGCTTCCCTTCTCTCCAGACCACTTCGGATTTGCTGACATAGAGGCCACCTTGCTTGATCACCCGGGTGGCATAGAGACTCTCGAGGGGCTGCAGCCGCAAGCCTACCCACCCAGTGCTGCTCAGGTGTGTGCTCCGTGCTGTTTTGTGATGCCTTCGTGCGTGAAGAAGAAGAGTTGAAGAGTAAATGTGATGGCCTTATTAGTGAATTTGTATTGTTTGGGGTTTTTTGTTTATTTGTTTGTGGTTTTTTTGGCTTTTTTTGAAACAGGGTGTTGCTCTGTTTCCTGGGCTAGAGTGCCATGCGTCAGTCTAGCTCACAGTGACCTCAAGCTCCTGGGCTCAAGCAATCCTACTGCCTCAGCCTCCTGAGTAGCTGGGACTATAGGCATGCACCACCATACCCGGCTAATTTTTCTTTCTTTTTTTTTGTAGAGATGGGAGTCTTGCTATATGTTGCCCAGGCTGGTCTTTGACATTCTGGCCTCAAGCAATCCTCTCACCTCAACCTCCCAAAGTGCTAGGATGACAGGCGTGAGCCATCGTGCCCGGCCTATTGTCCTTATACTCTAAGTAAACACTTCATTGTAATTGATATTCTTCTCCTTCAGACCCCATAGAATTATATTGGGTCCTCTTCCCAGACGACTTGGGAGCTTACGAAAAGTCGCCCCCACCCTGGAGACCTTGTGGGAACAAGCCCTCTCAGGCGGCGGCCGCGGCTCTCCCCGCTTTGGGCTGCGCTTCTGCTGCGTTCAGCGTGGCCGACCTCACAGCCCGGGACTGTGCCCCGGCTGCCCCGAGAACCCCGTCTCCTTCTCGGGGTGGACGTGGAGAAGCCTTTCTCCTTTCCTCTCAACCCGGCCCTCCTCCTGCACTTCCTCCTGCCCTGCCAGTTTTCTTTCGCTTCTACAAAAAACAGATTTTGTAGAAGGTTCCCTTGCCAGCCCCGGGTTGCACGTGATGTACCGAAAAGGTTTTCTGATTTTTTGGGGGGGCAGGCGTTTGCAAAGGCCCCCGTGGCCCGTGTGACAGCCCTTCTCCTGCGGCAGGGCACGCGTGCCCCTGAGAGCCGGTGTGTGGCTTCCCGCCGGGCAGGTGGATCGCACGGAGGCTGTGTTTCTAGGTTAAAGTTGTGTGCTCCGCCTGCAAAGCTGGCACACACTTGAGAGCCACGAGCTGCTGTTTTCTGAAAGCATCTTTGCACGGGAGCGTAAAGTACACGTACCGAGGTTGGAGGCTGTCCCATAACCGCCCTGTCCCCGCAGCCGGACGCAGGTCCCAGCCGTTCCCCCCGGGAGAGGCGCACGCAGTCACGGCTTCTCTCTCTTCCCCCGCAGGGTGTCCCCGCTGCAGAAGTCCGAGATAGTGGACGTGGTGAAGAAGCGGGTGAAGGCCATCACGCTCGCCATCGGGGACGGCGCCAACGACGTGGGGATGATCCAGACGGCCCACGTGGGCGTGGGCATCAGCGGCAACGAGGGCATGCAGGCCACCAACAACTCGGACTACGCCATCGCTCAGGTGAGTGGCGCGCGAGGCCAGCTGTGCTGTCCCGTTGACAGCGAGGGCAGCTGGGCATGCGAGCCCGGCCCTGACCCCCGGTCCAGCCCCGAGACCTCCGCCCCCACCCCCCCCTTTGAGGTCGCTGGTTAGACGAAACCACAGGCCCGTTTGGATTTCGCTGTGGTTTCGATCTCCTGCTGTTGGGAGGCCCCGACCTGCTGGTTGGGTTTCTGGGTTTCGGCTAGCTGTGGGGGGTGGCCGGGCCGCTCCGTCACCCAGGCGAGGTGCCACTCCTGACAGATAGGTCCCCGATCCCTCCACTCCTGCGTCTGCGGTGTGTGCTTTCCTCGCTGTGTCCCTGCTGAAGAGTAGCCGCGCGCCGGACATGTGTTCTCTGCAGCCCTTTCCCGCCCCGCCTTCCTCCCAGGGGCGCCGGGGCAGTCTCTGGTCAGGCGGGTACGGCCAGGGAGAAGCAGGGATCGACAGTGGCCGCCGTCCCTGTAATTGCGACAGGTGGCGGCCCCGGCCACTGCCGTGAGATGAGCTGCTGAGAGCAAGCCGGGTTTGGGCTGCGGTGACTCCGTGCTTGGCAGCAAACAACCCCCTGCAGGGAGGCCAAGTTCAGGCCATTCCTCTCCAAACCCAGCGTTGCATGGAGAGGCTTGCAAGGCCCTTTGTGGTCACTGTGCCGGTGGCCTGACAATGAAAGAAATGTCCCCTCGTTAGTGAGAGCGAAAAGGCGAAGGAAAGTAGTCAGTCTGCTGATCCCTAGAATACATATCTGGACCCTTCGGCCTGCTGAAGAACCCAGAGAGCCCAGACATCACAGTGACACACATCACTCCCCCTGGCTCCAGACCGCGATGTCCTGATTAAATGCCTCCTCCTTCCCCGGGTAGCCAGACCTCCCTGTTTTTGCCGTGTTTAGGCTTTTGAAGAATGTGTTAACCTTAATCACGTGAACGCAGGGAATAATGGCCTTGCCCCGCTTCAGGCTGCAGTCGGGGGCCGCATCTAAAACGTGAACGGGTTCCCTGCAGCCGCAGGGCTGCAGGCTGGCTCTCCGCAGCTTTGGGGGCCCCACCTTCCCAAAGGGGGCCTCTGCGTTAGATCACCTCTCAGGTTCCCTCCCCCCCAGTTCGCGGTTTTGCAAATGCAGGGAGGAATTACAAATCCTCCTGGCTCTGAAAAGTGCATGAAATCAATCTTGCTCCTTTGTTGATTTCGAGTAAATCCTCAAGGTAATTCCTAGAGTAGGTAGGAGGAAGAATTTTGATATTACAGGTGGGAAAGCTGGGGTTCCTTCGCATCAGGTGACCCACCCCAGGTCCGAGCGAACGTCTGGGGTCAGAGAACGGCAGACCCAAGAGTGAACTTGGGTGGGGGCGGGCCCCACACACCTGCCCATTTGCTTTCCTGAGTCAAGTTCTCCGAGGCCTGGGGGACTGGCGCTTCCTGAGGCCTGTCAGCAACTGGAGATGTCGTACACCCCAGCATTATTAAATACTTGAGTTATAACATCATAGGGCTGGAAGGGATCTTAAGAGGTTTCCTAGGAGTTCCAGGCAAATATTTGTCTGTCTTTTTCTTTAAAATGTCTAGGGAAGGGAGATTCCATGACCTGCTTTATTGAAACTGCATACTAATGGGATGTGGGACCCGGAGCAGTTGCTCTCTTCGAGTTAAAAGCGTCAGAGGAGGGTGGATTGGGGGAGGGCTGGAGAGCTCCACACCGGGCTTCTCTCCCCCCCTCCCACGTAGAGTCACCTCTGCCAAGGGAACCCACGAAGGCCCCTGTGGCTGCGGGCCCTCCTTTCTCCCGTCCCTGGTCCCCTGCCCGACCGGGCGGGGGTGCCGTCATCTCAGGGCCAGCTTCGGGCCAGCCCCACACCCTCCCAGAGCCGGCTCTGCCCTAATTACTGTGCTGGAAATGCACAGTCCGGTGACTCGCCTCGCCCCTGTTGAAATGGTAACCGTCTCTGGTTGAAGTTTACACCTTGTGCTTTTTCTGTTCGTTGTCATCTGGATGAATTTTTTGTATTGAGCTTTTGAGGAAACATCTTGTAAGGGTCAGAGACAGAAGTAAAAAGATGCTTAGCTCCAAGATGTATCCTCCGGGAAGGTTACGGGTATCTGCCTGTGTGCATCTGTGTGTGTGTGTGTGTGTGTGTGTGTGTGTGTGTGTGTGTGTGTGTGTGCATGTGTGCGTCTGTGTGTGCATCTGTGTGTGCATCTGTGTGTGTGTGTGTGCGCATCTGTGTGTGTTCTCTGTGCAAAGCTCTGGTTCTGTTTCTCTCCCGCCTGCGCCTACATCTGTGTGCACAGGGGCAGTCCGTGAACTGACACCCGCCCTCCTCTTGCCGCCTTGCCCCGGCAGCCTTTGCCGCCGCTATGTAATACCATGCCTATTCCTGGGAGAGACTCTTTCCTGCCCCCTACCCTCTTAATGCTTTCTGAATGACCTCATGAAGACAGCATTTTGATTTAGGATACACACACACACACACACACACATACGTACATATTTTAAAACAAATCATTGTAGCACTCAGGGTGAAGTATTCTTGGGGATGACTCCAGCAGATGTTCTCTGTGCCCATTGAAGTTTAGCACCAGGGGTCCGGGTCAAATGCAAACTTCCTTTTTATTTGTTTTGCTAGTTATTTTATGATTCCCCATTCCCCTGGGGAATCCTTAATGAGCCTTTATGGGGAGTTTGATTTTTCCATATGTCCCTCCTTCTGCTATTTTGAAGTCATCGTCTGGATTTTGGGACATGTGGATATGCCTCACCCCGATCCCCTGTAGAACTCTCTGGAATGTGACTTCCAGTAGGCTGCAGTCCCTCCTTTAGTGCTAATGGGAATTATTGCGTAGTTTCCTCTTGAAAGGAAATGTTTTATAGAAAGGTATTGTATTTTCAGTCAGGGTCTTTCTTTTTTTTTTTTTTTACAGAGAATTAATAGGAAGTTTGAAATCGTGAAAGAATCTCTAATGTTCTGGACACTCTCGGTACAGCCCGACTGTCTCTCCTGGTGGTGTGACTGGGCTAATGCTTGTGCACTTTCTGACACCACAGCTTAGAACAGGGGGAATTAAGGTTTTCATTCAAGACGACCAGAGGGGAACCCAACCCTGCATGAGGCGAACTGGACATATAGAAACGTGACTGTAAACAGAATTGCCCCAACAATGCATTCATGCCAGAGCATGACACCATCCACCAAACGGACAACAACAACAACAAAAAACAAAACTCATTTCCTTCCCTCCAGCTCACGGTTCTCACTTTTTGAGACCTCTGTAAAATAGAACACAGACGGCAAAGCCAGGCTGAGGAGATAGGAACCCCACCCCAAAGAGGACCCACGTATTTCGTTGGGGTATCTTTGAGGGCCCCTGTCTCAAACCGCAAGAGCCATTGCGTCACTCCCAGCTGAGTGTCCACCAGCTGCTCACGACCACATGACACTCTGGCAGGATGTGCTCTGTCCTAGTTAGGGGCAAAAAAGGAGAATAAAATGGGTCTAGAAGTGGAGGCGGAGTGTGTGTGTGTGTGTGTGAACACCTATGCATGTGTGTGTCTGTGTGTATGTCTATCTGTGTGTCTTTGTCTATGTGTGTGTGTGTCTGTTTGTGTCTCCATGCATGTAACTGTTTTTAACCTGTAAGCTGACAGGGGAAACAGTTTGTACACATGTGTTCCTTTTTTAACAAACAAGATGCAGTTGCAAGAGTGTCCCTGTCCCTTTCTTCTGCCATCACCATAAAATCTGTGGTCGCTCAGAGGCATCTAATTCCCGATGTACTTGTCTTTCGGTTCAGGAGGTCACCTTCTTTTAATAGTTAAGACCCGAAAAAAGCATTAGCTTAAATAGAATTTCACGAGAATAATAATTGGCGATCAAGCATGTCTGGGGAAAATAACCATTATGTAGATTTAAGAAAAGATTTCAGTTCTTCTCCCTGGGCCTGAAAGGCTCCGCCTTTAGGGAACGGTTTTCTCGGGCTTTCTGCAGAACCTTCTACCTACCTTGTCTGTCTTCTGCTCAGAGGGACATTTTGTGACTTTCATTCCTCAAGGATGGGCTCTTCTGAATTTTGTTATTATTTTTTTTTCCCTTTTTAGTTTTCCTACTTAGAGAAGCTTCTGCTGGTCCATGGGGCCTGGAGCTACAACCGGGTGACCAAGTGCATACTGTATTGCTTCTACAAGAACGTGGTCCTGTACATCATCGAGGTAAGGAAGGGAGATTGTTCTTCTCTTCGAAGAGGAGGGTTCTTTCACAGAACATCTGTGGATATTTATGGAGTACACCAGCAAGGTCACGGAGAACCTCACAGTGAGCTCGGCGCTATCGTCAATTTCTCAAGATGCTGATTCAGTTACAAGTAAAACCCATGTGCTTGCTAGAGGCGTGGACCCAGGGAAAAGTGGACAGGGCACTTTATGTTTGCTGTCAGTACCAGCCCCCCCACCCCCCCAGTCTTCCTTTTTAAGAAGAGCTCTGCTAGAAAGGTGCAGCTTTTGAGGCCAGGATGACTGACGAGTAGATTTCCAGATGTGTTTAGAAAAGAGGAAGCAGGCAGGCAGTCTGTGGAGGAATGCAGCGCTAATGGTGTTTTAATATCTCATTCTATTACGGGTTATTTTATGTTTGATTTCTCAGCTCTTTGCAAAATAATAACCATTCTATTACAGGTTATTTTATGTTTGATTTCTCAGCTCTTTGCAAAATAATAACCAAGGCTGAGATCAATTTTTTCCTATGCAGTCTCTTCACATACTCAGTTCAGATAATGTAATAAGTGGCTTGCTAATGTAACTATGACTGCCTCTTTACCAAGTTCTCTGACATTTCCCACTGACTCATTTAGGTCAATTGTATAGATTCATGTTACTTGTCTGGTAACTGTTATTTAAATTGTTAAAGAATGATTTTCCCAAGTTGTACAGGTTCCTCACTACACGAGGCTACCTGCCCAGCAAAAAGGGTGAATGAGGCAGAAATGTAGCCTTTGTTGCTTCATCTCTCGAGCTGCCCTGAGTCCACCCAGAAAAAGCAATGGGCTTTTCCAATGTGCACAGGGCAGCCTGTTTGCCAGAATGTGGTCCCGGGACGGGCTGCGTCTGTGGGGGGCATGCCTCTTCCGGTTCACACAAAAGCTCCTCGTGGGCCGGGGAGCAGCCCTGATTCCCAAAGAATGATCCAAGCAATCCAAAGAGATCTGGCTGAATTCTTGAAAACTGACCCCTTCTTCCTACTTGGAATCCTTTGTGTCCTGTCTGCTGGTGTTAAACAAATAGCTGTTATTTCTCTAGGAAGTACGTGCCGCAGGGCCTCGAGAGACTTGGACTTACAATTGCCTTTTTATACTTCTCTGTGAAGGTCACAGAAAAAATAAATAAATAACTGCCGTTTTGCTCAGTATTATAATGAGGTTAAAATCAATGATTTAAAAAATTATCCCTGATCTGTCTGCTGGGTTTGTGCCGTAACATTCAACTCCTTCCACTCTGGGTAAGAACTTGTGGATGTTGGTGTGATAGTTTTGGAGTTTCTCTCTTCCTCCTGCTCTTATTTTTACAGTGCCTTTTTGGCACTTAATGATGTCTGTCCCCCTTCCTTCTCCCACATTTTCTTTTTTGTTTTTGCATCTGTGATAGGAGTCACTCCTAAATGTCACTTGGGGTCATAGATGATAGCGTGAAAGGGTATTGGAATTCCTGTTCCTACGTGTTAGCCCACGGTTCCCAGCATTTTGTGCTCCTGCAGCTCTTAGCCTTGCAACGTCTCTTAATAATCTGGTTTCACTCACCATCAGTGAATTACAGATAGTCTAGACTTCTCACGGAGACGCGTGGGGCTCCCCACACTTTCCCTTTCAGAGCATCCCTTGGGGCCCCTTCTTAGTCATTTACACCTACTATCTTGCTGGCTTTTTTTAAACTTGAAGTGGGCCAAGGCGGAGAAGAGTACAATTTTAATCTGTCTGAGAAGTTCCACTTGGAACAAGGCCCGGAAGGTGCTGTGCCAGTGCCTCAAATTCGCATTTTAGTTGTAGCCAGCAACGATTGTTAATGGACTTTTGTAAACTCCCTTTTTAAACATTCTTTATACAGTTTTAAAAAATGTGAAAAGTCTCTGCCATTCCGAACCCAATTTTATGTTTAGTATTTCTAGGAGATATTTGCTTGAAAATCAAGAAAACAAAATCCTCGACTGAGCTCAAGCTCAGACCGTGTCTACCATGGCCAAATTACTTTCTTTGCATCAACATGCGCTTCAAATGTGATTTTAGAAATAGGAACACATTAGTACTACTTGCATGCTATTTTAGTGTGTTTTGAACTATCAGATCAAAGGTTATTGTATGCTGATTTGCTGATTTGCAGAAAACACTTTTTTTTTGTTCTAAAGGTAGCCTTATAATTAATTACTTAAGTGAGAATAAACTAAATACATTACTTGTTTCTCTTAGTTTTCTTATAACTCAAGGAGAGTTCCTTCACAACAGCCAACGTGTTCTCATCTCAAATGTCTTCTGAGATGTGCAACTTCCAGTCATTCAAAAATAGTCTAAAAGCAACTTGGCAAATTAAAAAAAAAAATACACGCATGTATGCACATGACACAACACACATTTTATGGCCTTAGCTGTTATTATGACGATTGTTCTGTGACTTGAGTTGCCAGTAAAGACTGTAGGGAAGAGCTCTAAGCCCGTGATGTCGTGCCGTCTCCTCACTTGCTAGACCAACCTTCCCGTGCAAGGAACATGCAGATGGACTCATTGCTGTGTGGGGCTCAGAGTTCTCTGCTCCCACCCCACGCCTCTTATGTATGATCTGTCCTGACTTTTTTCTTTGCAGTTGCGCAGATATGTGTGTGTACAAACAAGTCAGAGTTTTTAGGTAAAAGTCGTCGTGCTGTGCAATATTTCTGCAACTCAACGTTTTACCTACAAGTGTGTTCTGGAGATCATGCCTATGGCCACATATAAAGCCCGTGCACGGCATTTCACAGTGTGATTTCCTATCATCTGTTTTACCGTTTCCTGCCCTGAGAAACCTTCCAGTCATCTCCAGTTTCATTCGCAGGAAGTTCTGTGGAATAGCAGCTTTCTCTCTATGCAGGCCATAACTGTTCCACCAAAATGATAGCGATCTAATTATACTCTTTTCGCCACAGTGCCTAGAACACGTAACACATGCTCAATTTGTGTATTTTTATCTGTACAGCAGGTGCTTCCTTGCCGACAGATCTCATCGAATGCTTGTTGAGTGTGCCACATAAAAGTCAGTCAGGCCAAAGTAACCATTGGTTCAAGTGATTTGAAAACTAGGAACAAAATGATGGGACCTGTGGTTTTGTGGTGTCTCTGTTAATAGATAAAACTAAAACCGTGCACAACCTTTGCCTCCATCCCCTCTGCTACTGGCTTAATTTGGTCCTTTTTACCTTGTGGGTTGCAAAAACCACTAGTTTCTCCTCCTCAACCATCTCTAACGCAGCCAGGATAAGACTTCCGAAACATACATCTGATCGATTGCAGTGTCTGGAACGGAGGTGCTCAACAATGCTGGCAAGGAACGAGTGAGTGAGTGTGCTCCTCTCTGCAGCCCCTTCCAAGGCTGGCGTGTCCCCTTCTCTCCCTGCTCACCTGCCCCTGTGTGGTCTGGGTCCCAGCTGTCACCAGCCTCATTTGTCACTTCCATCCTTCTCACTTTGTTTTTCATCAGTGTTATTGAGGTATACTTAACAAACAGAAAGATGCACCCCTTTTAAGTGTTCAGTTATATGAATTAAAACTGGTATTTTATCACTAGAAACAGACTGGTGATTTCCTCTCTCCCTTCCCCTAGATGATGGCAAGAGCCTCACAAAGAGCTCTGGGGATGGGTGGTGGCGGTGGCTGCCCGAGGGTGGGAATGAGCCGGAACTGCAGAACAGGTGTGAACCGTTGGGACCGTACACTTAAAAACGGTTAAGGTGGTGGACTTTATGTTGTATGTGTTTTACCACGATAAACAAAATGCTGAAAAAAAGAAAAGAAATAAAAAAAAAGTCACAAGCACTTTGCTGCTTTCATCACTCTAGGGGAAACAAAACTATGTAAAGACAGATCACATGCTTTGGGGAGCTTGTCGAAGGTTTGGAAAACAAATTTTCCACATAGTTTTGTTTTGTATTAAACTAATTAAATGCTCACGCCCGTCATCCTAGCACTCTGGGAGGCCGAGGCGGGAGGATCGCTCAAGGTCAGGAGTTCGAAACCAGCCTGAGCAAGAGCGAGACCCCGTCTTTACTAAAAATAGAAACAAATTAATTGGCCAACTAAAAATATATGGAAAAAATTAGCCGGGCATGGTGGCGCACGCCTGTAGACCCAGCTACTTGGGAGGCTGAGGCAGAAGGATTGCTTGAGCCCAGGAGTTTGAGGTTGCTGTGAGCTAGGCTGACACCACGGCACTCAAGCCCAGGCAACAGAGTCTGACTCTGTCTCAAAAAATATATATAAATAAATAAACTAATTAAATGCTAAGTTTCGTGGCAGTGGCCAGATGGACCATATTTCTCAGAAGGTAAAATCCTGTTGTGGGCCAGAACTCTCAGAGCTTCCAAGCCTTGCAGGCAGATGGGACTCCGGTCAGCCAGCTGGAGCGGGTGTGTCTTTGTGTGTCCGTGTTAGGGGCTGGGACGGGATAAAATTAGCAGAGGGAGGGAGGGAGCACTGGGCAGAGGATGTGAGTGGCCAGGGGAGGGAATCTGAATATCTCAACAGGAGTCTTGTTGCTTTTAGAAGCTGGGATTCCTTTTTTTTTTTTTTTTTTTTCCAATTTGGAATAGGCAAGTTACATGGTAAAGGCGATTTAAAAAAATTTGTCTGTCAATATATAGAACAGATTGTAAGCAGAGAACATAAATATAATTGTGTAGTTTTAATCCTGGGGCATAAATTATGACCACTATGTAACTGTCTCCCCATATAAATTTTAAGCAGAAAGCACAGACTGATTTTTAAAAACTCTTTGATTTTGGCAATGGGAGGAATTTGCCTTAAATGCAAAGATTGGGGCTGAAGGGGTTAGGGAAGGATTCCTTATATATTTTTGAAGTCCTGATGGACCTTTCTGTGGTATCTTCTTAAGGAGAAGTGTTGAGTAAATTCTTTAAAGTTCCTACATCATTTATCAAACTAGGAGTTAGTTATTCAGAATTTCCTGAATGGACTATG